ACCCCCAACCTCCTTCTCTCCCTGCCTCCCACCTGGCCATTCAGCCCAGGCTATTTCTCCCTGCGCTTCAGGCAGGAGGTGCCTGGCCATCTCACCGTCCCCACCCAGGACACCCACGGCCACCCACTCCTGTTTGGCCAGAAGGCGCTGCACCCAGTATTTTTGTAGGTCCTACCAAAATAGCTTCCTCTCAGCAAGCTGGGCTCACAGCACACAAACTGCCCTCATACCAACAGCCAGGAGGCAAAAGAGTGTCACGTCTGACCTCAGAGGTGTCCCCATCCACCCAGCAAACCACCACAGGGGACTGGATCTAGGGAAGGCTGCAGGAGGGGGTCCCATGGGGGAGCTAGCACAGCCAAATTAATCTGGGGCACTGGGAAAGATGCCAGCTCCATTTTGCCGCCCACCCACCCCACATGCACGCTGTCTGCAGTGGGGTGTGGGATCCCAGGAGCCTACGGCACCGCAGTGACCCTAAATCTCACCCCCAGAGCATCTGTGGGGCAGAGCCTTTCTGAAAGATCCCCCTTTCCCCAGGGGAAGGGGGTGGGGGGCACCCAGGGGATACAAACGTTGGATGAAGGCAATTGAGGGGGGGGTGTCCAGGTATAGGAGAGACCCTGTCCCCGAATAGTGGGCTGGAATCCGTGCTCCACAGCCCCACGGGACCAATGCTGATCCTGCTGCCACGGGGTATGTGCCTTTGCACGTGCCCTTCCGCAGGGCACAGGGGGCCAGACCCCTCCTGGTATGACCCCGGGCACTGGCTGCGTTGGGTCTGCAAAGCAGCAAGTGCCTGGCACTGATTTACTCCCCAGAGCGGGCGACCCCCACCCCCCACACACACACAATGTTCTCAGCAGAGACCCTGCGCGCTGGCCACCCCCTCGCCCCAGGCCCCTGCGCCCCTGACCTTGCTCCTCATCTGCCCCGAGGTGGACACCTTCCGGATGAGCTTGTGGGAACTGTCCTCTTGCTCGCCCTCGCTGTCCGACGACTCCTCGCCACCTGCCTCGGGCGAGATGGGTGCCAGCTTGTCCGAGTCCAGGGATGACACTGACTCCCGGGTCTTCCTCAGGAACAGGTCCCCGGGCACCAGCTTCTCAGCCATCTTCCCACCCAGCTTGGCTCAGGGCTCCGCCGCCTCCTGTGACAGCCCTGGGAGGACAAGGACACACAGGAGTGGAGGAAGAGCCCTGAAAGGGGATGCACGGCCCCTCACCCTCTATGGCTCGCCCAGACAGGAGGTGCAATCCTGGAAATCAGGGGAGATGGCGCTTCCTCACCCAGGAACGCCGCTCAGGGTGGCTTCCTTGCAGGCAAAGTTTCCTTCCGTGCCTTTTTTCGGTGTCCCAACTCGTCCTCACCCTGCCTGGCATCCCAACACCGTCCCTTGCTCCGCCGTGGGAGGCTGCAGCCACCCCATGCCCTGGCGTTGGGGTGCATCTCCCGTGCCGCAGCCTGCGCCAGCCCTCCCCCCCTCCAGTGCCCATCCCCAGGGCGGTGGGCTGCCCTCAGTGGCTGGGGGAGGGGG